GTATATTTAAAGATGGCATTTTGCTACTCAAGTAAAAGTATAAGATATAAAGTCTGGTTTAAGTCACGCATAAAACACAAAACAGTATCTGCCAATGGGGCAAGAAAAATTAAATAGTTTTCCCTTTGAATCACGTTTATTTCTTCTTACCCTATTGCAGATACTGATTCCTGTTGTTAAGCTTAAATTCACCTAATTAAAGTATACATTTTAATCCTACTTAAAAAAACAAGACAAGTCTCAAGTAAATGTATTTTGATTTAAGAATGTTTAGAGATTTGTACTAGAAAACGAGACTAAAAACTGAGTAAGAATATAATTTTTATTTTTATTATTAAGTATGGTGCCAGTTTAATGCTTTAACAAATGTTAGAAAAGACATTAGCATAAAAGGATGCAACAGAATTATTCATACCAAGTCTAATGCAAAATTCTGATTCACATAACTTGATTAAATTGTTCATTCACACAATTAAAATATTGACCTTTCCATAACTTAAAAGTATGAAATATTCACAAGCAGCGCACCAGAATCATTCTCAGCCAGACTGAATCTGAAGTTTTATCATTTTATGAAAAAAGTTTGTACCGGTATATCCAATTAGATTAAAACGCAACTTGGCCTTTAATAACATTAACGTCATAAGATATTCACAAACAGTGTACCTAAAACTATTCACACCATCCAATATCGAAATTCTCAAAAACAACTCTGGAATAAAATCAAATCAAATAAAGCAGCTGATTTCAGACACGTTGTGAAGGAGCTCATAGAGATTTTATGGTATGTGTTTTGTGTCTCAAACTTGTGTAATAAGACTTTGTCTCATGCGTCTGTGGTTTTTCTGTGTGTGTGTGTGTAGTCGGAGGGAATCTCTGATGACGGTCTACCGCTGGGCTCTAAAGCTCCTATCTGGATTCCAGATTTGAGAACGACCATGTGTATGATCTGCACGTGCGAGTTCACGCTCACCTGGAGACGCCACCACTGCCGCGCCTGCGGAAAGGTTCGAAATACAAAACAAATCTAAGCTTTGTTTCCTTTTATAGAGTGAACAAATAGGTCTGACTGATATCGGTTTGTTGTGGCAACAGGTGGTGTGTCAGGCATGTTCGTGTAATAAATTCTACCTGGAATACCTGAAGAATCAGCTGGCACGAGTGTGCGACCACTGCTATATCAAACTACAGCACAAGGGTACAACCGACCAACCACTTCTCTACTAGAAGTTTTGTTTATTGAACATTCTTGGTTTTAGCGTTGTTTGCTCATGCTTGACTCTGAGTATTAAACTTGTGTGGTTGCACAGCCGAATCCCACATATTTGTTCTAAAGTGCCGATTTGCTTTTGTCTCTTAGGGGACCAATCCAATGTAACCGTTTCCCCTAGTGGGCGGAGTTCAACATTTGCTTTTTCTAGAAGACAGAAAAGGATTCCTTCTGCCCTCAAAGAGGTGACCTGAAGTTGTACATTTACCCCTTAATGCAATGACAGGGAGATTTTATGTGTCACTGTAGTGAAGGCTTCGGGGTTTTTTTTTACCACAACGCTGATGTCATATTCAAATATCTCACTCACAGGTGTCTGCCAGCACTGAGAACTCCTCCATGAGTGGATATCTGCACAGATCCAAAGGCCACAAGAAACCATGGAAGAGGCTGTGGTTTGTCATCGAGAACAAAGTCCTCTACACTTACGCCGCTAGTGAAGTATGCTGCCTTTATTCATGTAATAACTTTTAGCCAGTGTTGAGGAAGCTTTATCAAAAAGCAGATAACTCTATTGAAGACATAATAAGGAAATTGTTGGGAAAGCTACTTTGAAACTGTCGTTGACCAAGCTACTAACAAAAAGTAGCTAAATATATTGAACCTTTTTTTATTTATTTAACCAATATCAGATGCTATAGTTTATTTTTAACAATGAGAGTAGTGATGGGTGATTTCAAAACACTGCTTCATGAAGCTTCGAAACCTTCTGTTTCGAATCAGTGGTTCGGATCGTGTATCAAACTGCCAAAGTGATTTCAGTAAACGAGGCTTCGTTACGTCATAACTGTTTCGAAACATTTAACGGTATGTCATTTGAGATGACATTTGAAGGACTTTTTGGTAAAGTTATATGACTACTTGGGAAATAGTTGCTTGTTCTTGGAAAAAATTATGTTGAAAACAGCTATGTTTGCAATACTGAAAACTGTAAAACGTCAATTATTCCCCTTTTTTCCTCTTTTCTTTTTTTCACTGTGTCATGAGAATAATATGCAGATGTGTATGTCATAATAAAAGCTGTCATGTGTTGATGATTGCGCTGTTTTCAGGATGTTGCGGCATTGGAGAGTCAGCCACTGCTGGGCTTTTTCCTCCGAGAGGAGAAGACGGGACCAGCTCAAAAAATGCAGTTTAAACTGTACCATAAAAACACACTCTACTACATCTTCAGAGCCGAGGATATCCCCACTGCTCAGAGGTACAGCAGGAACACACTTCATGCACTTGTATAGAGTTTGTTCTGTCGATCGTCCATTCAAACTAAATCTGTGCTGCTTTTTCAGATGGATTGAAGCGTTTCAAGAGGCCATGATCCTTTGACTGGTCTGGGTTGGATTAAATCGAATAAATCAATGTCGTTGGTCTGGGTCTCTCCACTGTGTTACACAGGCAGTGCGTCTGAGGATGCAGAAATCAAAACCCAGTTTGAAGCAAAGGATGCTGGTAGATGTAGTGTATGCATTTAATCTATCTTAAGCATCATAATGAAGGTAAAACAAGTGGCCAGTTTAATCAGACTGCATCCGTCGTACTTCAAAAATGTGAGGTATTAATCCATAAGTTTGTTCTTAATGTATTTTTTAGCAAACACTGCCTCTCTGTAAAAACTCCTTAGCATTAAACCAGCCCACAGAGCGTTCAGGGTCAAAACTGTCAGACAATGACTGGTCATGAGCTCTACATACAGAAGTTTGCAAGTACTCCTGACCATGACGTGTCGTTTACCTATGAATCCGAATTCTTGCCAACGTTGGAATGCTAGATATTTTGAAACACTCCATTATGATGTCATAGGGACAGTTTGAATCTAATTGCAGCGATTACATGTTGCCTGATGAAGGTTTAAAAATTTGGACACTAGTGTGATTCATAGTCAAGTCTGAATGTGCATGAGCAAGTATGATGCAAGGAATGTCTGATGCCAGGTCGCACCTTCATGTGGTGCAGTCTGGCATGGTGCATTATGGGAGATTTTGTTATTCAACTGTGAAAGCTGGGAAATGAAGGCTTAAAAAGTTACTGGGCCTTAATTGTGAAGCACAACCAGAGTGACTTTATGTATGAATTGTACGTAAAACCATTGTTTTTACAACTGATTTGCGCACGAATGGTTTTATGAATGATTGATGCATTGAACGTGACCATTTACAGAACATTTTTTTACGAGCATTTTAGACATTACATGCAACGGTTTACCCAAGCATAGTTTTACAAACAATTGAATTACCTGCAACAATTTACATAAGAATGATTTTGTGAATGATGCACACATTGAATGTAACTATACTTTTATTTTGAAGAACGTAATAATTTTCACAATCAATGTGTTCAAAAGATTCATTCATGGAATGTGAGCATTTACGTAAGAACGTTTTTTAACAGAAGATTGACGCATTGCATGCAACAGTTTATGTATGCGCATTCTTTTTTTTTTTACAAACAATTATATGTGCATTATATGCGACAATTTGTGTAAGAATGAAATTACGAAAAAATTCCGTATTTCCCGATGAGGTCCTTCGTTATTTGATTTTTTCAGTTAGCCTGTTACAGTTACAAAAAATGTTTTTAATAATCTTAAACTATTTTGTAAAAAGTAGGCATTTTGACTGATGCTTTAAACATACTGGACTGAACTGGAAGTGTACATATTTTGTAAATGGTAATATAATGCAGGCGTATTTAAAATAGTTCAGGATGTTTAATGGCCTCAATGAATTATGGGTAGTAAAGACACAGTGCTAGGCTGGCTAACTCAGCACTGTTTTAACGTTCTATATAAGACATTTATAGCACACCGGCTGTGAATACAGAGAAGAAGAAAAAACTAGTGCTCTTATCAGGGAAAGATATATAACACACACATTAAATACTCTAATGCACCTTGTTCAGGACACTTTGACAATGGGTATACATGATTATATTCTCTACAGTTTTCACTAAAGTCCTCCGTCAGCTCCAAGCACAGCAAGCCACTGATCTTTCACCGTTTGAAGGGTAACAGGTCCAAGAAATGGATTTTATTTGTTTGATATCGATCATATTTCTGTTTTGAATGTTTACATTTTGTAAGATTGTTTTGATTTTGGGAAACAGATACACCACTGTTGTTGTTGTTGTTGTTTTTTTCCACTTTTAAGAAAAATATAATTGCTATTCCTGATGTTTCTGGTCATCTTGGCACTAATTCACTGTTGTATCCCAAAGTTCTGAGGATCTCCAGAAGGTTTTACATCCTGAAGTAATCTGTTAATATCTTAAGGATTTCAAGGGAGTAGCTATGCCCCAACATAAATGTAAAGTGCAAATAATTTTTTAATAAATAATGTAATGTAATGAGATAACGTGTGCATCTCTGGTTAAACTTTGTTTCATAATGACTTGGGTTATGTTTGCTAAATATAAATATTAAAAGTACATTACACTATAACATTCATTGCAGAATGAGGTTTTTCAATTGCCGATACAATAACAAGAGAGCTACTGATTAAAATCCGTAAACATTTTTTTTTTTTTTTTTTACCAATTCACAACATCGCGCACGATCCATAGCAGAGCTGTTGGTACTGATATCTATAGCTAACGTAAGATAATGCATAATTGGATAAACTGGGACAGTTATTGGCCAGTGTGTATACAATTCATAACTTTGGTATCTATTAATAGTAAATCATACTGGCTAACGGCGTAAATTTTCATTTAACCTTGACTAAAATAAACACTGTCCAGCTCACGAGTGCAGTCGCGCATGCGCAGATGTGCCGGTTTACTCTGAACGGGTCGCGAACTCTGACCTCCTATATCTGCCGTGAGCCGTCAGTTTACGATAATTTATCAAAAGACACCAGTATTTGGATAATTATTCACGGTTTCATGGTAAGATTAACACTTTTTTACATTATTAAAACCTATTGTGCTTGCAGTAATTGTTCAGGATTAATAATGCGGGAGAATGTTAGCACTGTTGTTAGCCGGCCTGCTAACACGCGTTAGCGTAGTAGCCGCTACCATAACAGGAAACATTGGGAATCAAATCGATCCTTTCATGTCTGCGATTGAACTGACTATACGAGGTTATTTGGACTTTTAAGAAAAATAAAGATATATAGCCAGCCATCTAATGGACATCATATCAAATTTGAAGTAGATATGACGTTATTTAGCAAGCTAACGCTATCAATGTGTGAATCTGATATCAGCGCTCTGATAAACACAACAAATACCGATAAAAGTAGCGCAAATGCATTATTCGGATCTATCAACAGCTCATTTGAGGGTCTAAAGTTTTGAAGGTACTAGATTTGTCCTGTAATCCGCGTGTGAGGTGCTGCTGTAGTGAAGATCCCTCTGTGTATGTGTGTGAGGAGCTTTAACCCTTCAATCATGACCTTTAACCTACAGGAACAGATCTAACTTTATCTTCCCGGATCAACACACACACACATTCCGCAGGAGTTACTGACCCCCAGCTGTCATTCACTGTCTAGATCGCATTCAGTCATTATTAAGTATTTCGATTCTCTGAATAACACTAAAGTCGCGATGCTGGCTATTGTGCTAATGTAGCTACTGCTAATCAGAAGCCTGTGAGATTTCAGCATGTCTTCATCAATCTGGACTGATTGACAACACTGAACACAATACTTGAGCATTTGTAGAGTGAATAACAGTTGCTCATTAATATTGAAAAATCATTGGTCATGATGTTGGAATGACAAGACCTGTAAAATCGTGAATCATTTGACTGATAATAAACAGGTTGAAACATCACAGGAATTGAGCCAGACCTCGTTTGCATCATTATTTGAACAATCCCCTAAACCTACATATTAAACTTCAGTATTTAAGCCACCCCGGACCGTTTATGCTGCGATCTTTTATTATTATTATTTTTAATAAACATCCTAACATCTTTAGATGCTATAGACCCCCAAATATGATCATCCTTGTGCGAGGGACCTCCATCCTAAATCTAAGTCAGGTTCCAATTTATACAATGACAAATTAATAAAATAAATATGTATAAAAATAAATTTGAAATATTTAAAATTCTATAACATTATATTACTGTATTATATTATACTCCTTATATTAATGGACTGTTAGATTTGTTTATTTATTTAAATACATTTTTATTTATTTGTATAATGTTTTTTTGTTATTGTATTATAATCATATTATTTATTTATTTTTACATTGTTTTTCTCTAAACTTTTCCACAGACCCCCTAAAAACTTGTGTATAGTGTTTTAAGGCCACGATAGTTATTTATTTGTTTTTCACTTAAAGGGATCAATATAAGTTTGAAATACCTTTGCAGCGGTATACTGTTAGCGAACATCATGGTGACGCTGCCCACACTGCTAAGAGCGATGTTTAGATGAATATTTTAAAGTGCTGCGCGCTTTCCTCTCAATAAAAAAATTAAAACACAACAAAATGACAGTGGTGCGAAAACCGCAGTAAAGAAAGCATCTCATCAATCATAGAGTCGTGTGTTATTTTTCTCAGGTGGGCGTGTGGCTGACGAGGCGTTGCTAAGCCACGGATCTGACAAATCGTTATCATGGATGGAGAAAGTCCCAGAATTCAGCTGGTGTCTGCAGACGGAGGCCTACAGGTGACTTATACTCCACATTTAGACACTAAATATTCGTGTAACAATTTGGTGCGATAAACATTTGAATTTTAATGAACAGCTGTTCAGTTTGTTCGGACCAAATGGCAACCTTCCGGTCTCTCTCCTGAAGCCAACACGGAAGTGACTTAAACTGCAATTCATCGACTGGCCACTAGAGACAGGCTCCAAAAGAGAGTCAATCCCATAGACCCCCCTATGTTAATACGCCAAACTTTACAGCAGGAAAAAATGTGTTTACAGCCTGTTACAAAAAGTAGTTTTGGTCTATACAGATAATTTCTCCCTTTTTGACAACTGTGTGGGGGGTGAATTATTTTATAACTCATCCATTTATATTATATTAAGCATGAAAGTTCTTCATAATTAAGGGCGTGGCCACTTGAGTGACAGGTGGATTGCCACTGCTGTCACTACTAGCCGTTTTTACTGCTGTCTGTTAGCCGCCACGTCACCAGCTAATCCCGCCTCTTTGCCCATTTTTGATTATCCTGGAGTGACGCGCTGCCAAGATGGCGACGGCCGGTTCCGCCCACTTTGGGCTTTAAAAATGCTCTTCAGAAACCTACGGGTGACGTCACGGACACTACGTCCATATTTTTTTTTTACAGTCTATGGTTCAGACCGACATGAACATTTGCATGCTGTCAATGCAACGTGCTTTTTTTTTAACGGATGGTTGTAAAAGAAAATCTCTTTTTCATCTTTCACACAGCGAAAAAAAGCTAGCCAACCAAGAAGAATTGCACTTTTGATCACATGCACATAAACTTTAGCCCCCGGTTTCACAGACAAGGCTTGAGTCTAGTCCCGGACTTAAATGCATGTTTGAGCTGTTTTAACTGAAAGCTTTCAAATCTCTCCCGCTGTACTTCGATGTCACACACTGATCGGTCTGTGCAGCGCCACTTTATGGCGAACACATCTTATGACTCGGGTGTGCTTTTGATAAGCTACAGTAAATAGCAGAGGAAGAACGTTTTAGTGCTGATGTCGAACATTAATGTTTGTGTGAACAGGCTTCCACTGAACTTTATTGCTGTAAACGTCATTTCGATGGTCTTTGTTGTCATGTGTTGTATCAGATTGTGACAGAGCAGCAGTTGGCTCAGAAGGTGCAGATAGTCACAGCCATTGATCAGGCTGGAGGCGGCAAACAGCAGTTTATACTAACCAACTTGGATTACCCCAACCAGGAAAAACTGTTCATCAAACAAGAGAACTCACCAGCCAAGGTCATCTTAACCTCTGCCGAAGGGTCAGCTGTCAATCAACTGCTTTTTGCATCACCTGAGCTGACAGGACAACAGATCCAGGTAAACGTTGTACACATATGCTGGGCACGCCGTACATTTCGTCATCAGTATAGTGTGCGCGTATTTCTTTTACCTTTATAGTTGTTCCAAAAGGTGGCAACACTGGCCTAAAGCATTGTTTCACAGTTGAAGAAGAAATGGAACAGCAAATACTACAACCAGTGAAGAGATATCCACAATCAGGGCTTGATATTAACTTTTTTTGCTCACCAGCCACTGTGGTTAGTGGTTTTCCAAAGTTACTAGCCATTCAGGATTTTCACTGGCCACAATTTTGACATTGATACCATGAGAAAAAAACTTCATATTTTTTATATGATCTCATAATTTGGCAGCATGTATATTAGGCTGCGGTCACTTTAAGACTGGACGCACGGATTCATTAAACTGTTACACATGCGTTTTCTTTCTCAACTGTTTATATTCACTTAAAACATAACTAACTGTGTTTATGTGAATATTCTCCAAGACCAGCATTTTGATATTATTTTGTGTATTTGACTGTTTTAGTGCAATAAGCAGTGAAAAATAACTCAATTTAGTACTGAGAGGCAGCTTTATCCATGCGTGCTTTTAGCCTGGGTTTCCCCATACTGCCTTTGCGCAGCTCGATTTTATTCACGCTGCTATGCAGCCTGGATACCATGGACCAAATTTTCGCCTCAGCAAGGGGACCAATCACAGAACAGGGAGGGAGCAGCAAGACAATGACGACGTCTATGCGACACACCGAAGCAGTTTGTTTACCTATGGATCAAACATGGCAGCAGACGCGAAGTTACCTTTCGATGCACCTTTAGATATTGTTCTAAGTAGTTTAGAACGCAAATAAATCTCTGACCCATCATCTTCTTCCTCGTCTAATTTCTTTCACTCTACATACATCATCTGGTATAATTGAAACAATTGGCTTTGAGCTACGTACAGGCGCATTCGATAGACGTTCGTAGCACCCAATTAACGGCTCTGGGCATTCGTAAACCACGCCTCAAATACGAGAAAATGAACATGTGGTTCCCCCAGACCACGTCTCAATGTCAATGAGACGTGGTCTGACGTTAGCCAGGCTTGCGTGCTTTAGGTGTGAGCACAAAATGAGTTTTCTGCGGGAATGAGTCAAACTATGTGCAATCCCACGTGAAATTCAAGCCCTGTAACACCAACAATATTCAACTAGATCAAATGAAACGAGCGAGTGAGAGGAGGCGGGTTTGTGTGTCAACTCGCTGCCGGAAAGATGACAGAGCGAGAAAGCGTTTTGTTTCTATTCTGTGGGAAATGAGTATTGGAAGCGTTTCAGATATTTCAGTATCGAAAAATCTATGTTTTTGCATTCAGATGTATGAACAAAACGGCTGTATACTTTGGGCTTTACTCATGTTTCGGCAGTGTGAAAATCCAATGTGGTGGACGAAGTGAGATCATTTTTGCTTATAAAAACATATTTCATTCTGTTATTAAAATAGTTTTGATGTAAATGGATTGTTTTACCCAACATTTGTGTGGGCTATCATGTGTCTTTTAAGCTTATTAAAGAGTCGTGCTGTTAGCTTAGCAACATGCTAATGTCAAACAATATTGAAATCAATGGCATGTTGAGACTTTAGTGTGGAGAAACACTGTATAAATACTTTGGTAATTGTTTAATACCATATATCAAAGTACCATAGTAATAGCATCTGATACATCACTATAACGTGGTACTTTTTTTAGGCGTACTATAAATGTAGTTCTCTCATATCGATTTATATTGTGATAGTGTGTACTTGCTTGCTTGTTTTTGCATATGGCATTTGCTTTTGTAATTATTTACACAATGTAAATGTTCATATTTATAGGCTAGAGTGTTTTGTTTTTCAGTTTGTGACGGAGGGCTCAGAACAGGGCTCTACGAAGCCTCCAGTGGAGTATTGTGTAGTTTGTGGAGACAAGGCCTCCGGTACATGACCAACACACACTTTTTTTTCTTCTTTTAAAAAAAATAAGTTTAGACCTCAAAATTGGCTGCAAGCTATTATTGGAGAGAGACACTTGTAAATTGTTGCATTTGTCCTGTTGGTCATTGTGTGTTTAGGCCGTCATTATGGAGCAGTGAGCTGTGAGGGCTGTAAGGGTTTTTTCAAGCGCAGCATCAGGAAGAATCTGGTGTACACGTGCCGCGGGTCTGGAGAATGTATCATCAACAAACACCATCGGAACCGGTGTCAATACTGCAGACTGCAGCGCTGCATGGCCCTCGGCATGAAACAAGACTGTGAGTCCAGATCCGATGGGTAACACGTACCTGCACCATTTGTGCCCTGGACATGATGCAGGGGTGTGCTGGTACTTGGTAAGTGATAAGACTTATGATCAAAATTCTGCCAACAGCTGTTCAGTGCGAGAGGAAACCGGTGGAGGTGTCGAGAGAGAAGCCAGCAAACTGTGCGCCCTCCATCGAAAAGATCTACATCCGCAAAAACCTCTGCAGCCCTCTCGCCGCCATGCCAACGTTTGTTAGCGAAAAAGAGACCACCAGGTATGGATGTGAATGTGTTTTTGATTCAAAAAGAATATTTTTTTTTTGTTTTTGTATTTTTCTCACTCTGTGTCTGATCACAGGTCCACCAGTTTACTGGACTCCAACATGCTCTTGAACATACAGCAATCACTTTCTAAACTTGACAACACCATTTTAATTCCTTCTTCACCAGATCAGGTAAAATGTTTTTTTTTTTAATGTTTATATATATATATATATATATATATATATATATATATATATATATTAATTATAATTATAATATAATTAATTTGAATATTTTTTTGTAAAAATTATGTATGTTGTTTTTAAGTCTGGTTAGCTGTAATCTATTTGTAAATCTATTTTCCTGGTCCCTGTAATTAAAAAAAGACTTTTAGGTAAATCTCCCTGTCAAGAACATGCTTTTTTGAAAATTTGCATAAAGAAAATGAAGCCTATTTTAGGGCCAAGTTCACTGTGGCAATATTTTCATGAAAAAAACACTACCATGATGTAAATTAAACGTGTATGATGTAAATTAAAACATACACTCACCTAAAGGATTATTAGGAACACCATACTAATACTGTGTTTGACCCCCTTTCGCCTTCAGAACTCCCTTAATTCTATTCAACATTGATTCAACAAGGTGCTGAAAGCATTCTTTAGAAATGTGGGTCCATATTGATAGGATAGCATCTTGCAGTTGATGAAGATTTGTGGGATGCACATCCAGGGCACGAAGCTCCCGTTCCACCACATCCCAAATATGCTCTATTGGGTTGAGATCTGGTGACTGTGGGGGCCATTTTAGTACAGTGAACTCATTGTCATGTTCAAGAAACCAATTTGAAATGATTCGAGCTTTGTGACATGGTGCATTATCCTGCTGGAAGTAGCCATCAGAGGATGGGTACATGGTGGCCATAAAGGGATGGACATGGTCAGAAACAATGCTCAGGTAGGCCGAGGCATTTAAACGATGCCCAATTGGCACTAAGGGGCCTAAAGTGTGCCAAGAAAACATCCCCCACACCATTACACCAGGGTTCCAGACTGCGACCAAATTGGTCGCATATGCGACCATTTTTTGAGGATGTGCGAGTTAAAATGTCATGTGGTCGCATTTGTGCGAGTGGACGCTTGAGCAACAGAACGCCGTTGTATCAGCTGCTGCAGTCCGTAACTTATGTTCAAAATGAACGAGTAGGCATCATGAATCCATTTTCCAAACCGTGTTTTTGACTTATTCTGAATCACTACGGTACGCCTATAATAAGTGTTTATATTCGGACTATTTTATCCCGGGGTCGTCTCAAGTGCGGAGTAGCCCAGTGCCTGCGTGACTCGCCATAGACATTAACGGAGAGAAGTTCCGTCTACAATGTTCTTCCGCAAGACACGTGCAGTTTATTTATTGACGAACGTAGACGTCACGCGCATTGCACACTGATGGTGAAACGCGCCAATTACGAATTCACGAATTAACCTCTTAACCGTCTCCAGAGCGTCGGCGCACTGAAGCGTTTTTTTATTTATTTAGTTCAAATATACTATCAGATTTAATGTTATACCTTGACAAACTATACATCATTAAAAAGATATAAGACTCAAGATTCAGTATTTGACCACTATTGTATTCTGAGAAACTTATAGTGACAGTTATGTCTTAATTTGTGTCAGGAGTTATGAAATTAAAAAATGAGTCGTTACCTTTAATATGAATTATGAGCCTCAGCCGGTCTCATTCAGAAAAAAACTCCCGTGCGATCGTCATGACAGCGCTTGACAAAACAACGTCCCTCAGGGCTTTTAGCTCAAACATGTGCAGATTTGGAGAAATATTGATAGATTCTCATAGCTTTACATTAGACTTCTATAGACAGGAATAATATTTATTGAATTTATACCCAAATGCGTCGATGTAATCATTTTGAGCGCTGTATACTCTGTACTGTGTTATCAATTCATCCTGAAAGTGAGGGCGCTGTTTGAACAGAAGTCCATAATATATGGATCACATGAAGAAGAGCCATAATCATGTGACATTCAGGAAGTCCTGCCACAACAAAGCTATCCGAGATCGCTGTAAAGTGCAGATAAAGATGTTTTGAAGACAATAAACATGATTGCAATGATATTTGATTTACCTGTGTTCTTCGAGTCATGTCAGGTATTTTCATAATAATTGATTATATGTATAATGTAATGCTAATCGAGATAGACTTTCAAATTGTGCAGAATACAATAAAATAATATATTTTCTATCTGATTTTTTTATCTGAAGCCAAATCAGATTACAGAAAGTTATTTAAAACACTCGACTTGCGCTATAAAGTAAGTTTGGAGAACAAACATAGTTTTATTCTCATAAATTGTCGTGTATTGATGGTGTGCTAAGCTAACATGCTAGCTAGTACTGAGCACCTGCTACCTTACTTCGGTGTAATTTTTATGATTTTTTTCTAAATAAGAATGCTTACTGAAATGTTTCGTTTTTCAAAAAGGGCATTTGATACAGTTTCACTGTGAAGTGAGAACTTTTATAAAATAAATGAGGGATTGAAACAGTGTGAATTGCTAGTCGTTAGTGATTATAATGCAGACAAAAGAAAAGCATATTTAGAGCAATAAACTGGCTGGAGAGGTGTGAATATGTGCAGGGGAGACTGAGACTGAATGGGGCTCGTTTTTGCATCACAAAACAATAGAGGCAATAGACTGAATAGATGCTTATAAGAAAACAATAAACACCAGTCTAATCAAAATAAAGTCATATGACATGATCTTGAAAAACATTGAACTAAATACAGAGTTTTAGACTTATCATCTTCAAATTTTAAATATAACATGGCCAGACATGTGGCTTTAGCTGCAGTGCATTTCTAGATTGCTACAATGCCAACTTCAATTTTATTTTCATGAAGATGTTTCATAAAAATAAATGTATAATAACTTTACAAAACTTTGAAGCTATTTATAACTATTTTTTTCATTATGATAATAATTAATTCTACATTTACAATAAACTTCCAGGTGTCAGCTTTCAAATGAGATCTTACTTGTGCTTTTAGTACAAAGGGTTCATGAACTGTATCTGTTTCAGTTTGGGAATGCCATATCTGGGGATTTTTCAAAAATGGGCTTGAAGCTTAACAGGTTAAGGCATATAAAAATGATAAAAATGGTCTCACGAAACACAGAGCCTCCTCCTCCTACGTCTTTTCAGCGGATATATTTTCCTCTGTCGAGCGATTACTCTCATGATCACTCGACAGAGGAAAAGGAAATTATTATAAAATGCAGAAGGTAAGGAGTGTGAGATTTCTGCTTTTTGTTACAACTATAAACTTTGATAACGAAAAATCTGTATCAATTTATTATAATACTCTAATCTTTTAAAATGTAATGCATACATTTGAATGTTTAATGATTTTTAAAAGATAGAAAGATGATAATAGACAGATAGATAGATAGATAGATAGATAGATAGATAGATAGATAGATAGATAGATAGATAGATAGATAGATAGATAGATAGAATATGATTAAAATGTAAATAGATAGATTGTATATAATTCAATTGTTAAATGCTTAAAATTACACATTAAAATTACTGTCCAAAATCCATGAAAATCCTGAAATTTGGCAATGATAATTAATATATTACAGGTATTTCTGCTGCAACCCAGAAAGCCTTTGCTAGCCTTGGTCCATTAAAACCACTATTCATCAGCATGCATTGATTAATCCCATGGCATGTAGAAAAAAAAAAAAAAAAAAAGGTGCGACCAAATCATATGCTGGTGCGACCAACTGAGAAAGTTGGTAGCACCAGTGCAACCAGTGGAAAAGTTAGTCTGGAGCCCTGCATTACACCACCACCACCAGCCTGCACAGTGGTAACAAGGCATGATGGATCCATGTTCTCATTCTGTTTACGCCAAATTCTGACTCTACCATCTGAATGTCTCAACAGAAATCGAGACTCATCAGACCAGGCAAGATTTTTCCAGTCTTCAACTGTCCAATTTTGGTGAGCTCTTGCAAATTGTAGCCTCTTTTTCCTATTTGTAGTGGAGATGAGTGGTACCCGGTGGGGTCTTCTGCTGTTGTAGCCCATCCGCCTCAAGGTTGTGCGTGTTGTGGCTTCACAAATGCTTTGCTGCATACCTCGGTTGTAACGAGTGGTTATTTCAGTCAAAGTTGCTCTTCTATCAGCTTGAATCAGTCGGCCCATTCTCCTCTCCTCTAGCATCAACAAGGCATTTTCGCACACAGGACTGCCGCATACTGGATGTTTTTCCCTTTTCACACCATTCTTTGTAAACCCTAGAAATGGTTGTGCGTGAAAATCCCAGTAACTGAGCAGATTGTGAAATACTCAGACCGGCCCGTCTGGCACCAACAACCATGCCACGCTCAAAATAGCTTAAATCACCTTTCTTTCCCATTCTGACATTCAGTTTGGAGTTCAGGAGATTGTCTTGACCAGGACCATACTCCTAAATGCATTGAAGCAACTGCCATGTGATTGGTTGATTAGATAATTGCATTAATGAAAAATTTAACAGGTGTTCCTAATAATCCTTTAGGTGAGTGTATATTATTTAACTATATACTAAATAATATTTAAATTTAGAAGTCATTTTACATAATGGTAGTGTTTTTTTTTTTACCATATTAAATTTTAAGATTTTTTATAAAAACAATAATTAAAAAATTATAATTTTTAGTCATTTTAAAAGTAACAGATTTTGGGTTGAAATCTGAAATCAGTTTGATAAAATTTAAGGCCAACAAATGTTTTCAATCTTTTAAATTGTATAAGAAATATCTTAACTATCATTTCAAGAGGAACGGAAAACATAAAACCCAATAAGGTAAACTATCGCGATTTCTATAATCTGCAAATTCGACGCCCTTCGGAGAAATTTAATGTTTTAAGCGCTGCGGCTTACCAGTGTTTCCAAAACGGAATTCCAGAGAGGGAATTTGCATTTTCAATTAGCCTGTGCCGTTTTATTACACCACTGCAAAAAAATATTTAAAAAAGTCACATATATAGATTTTAAATATAATCATCAGAAAATAAATATAGGCCTAATCATTTATAATTTTGACTCGTCCCTTTTCTTTAAAAAAATGGTCTAAAGGCTGAAATGTGAGGTTTATCATTTTCATTTTCATTATCATTTATCTTTTTGTTCTTGTCAAAGCCTGTATTTCAACACTGAAGTTGTTTAAATCATGTTTTTACCCTACACATTGCCCTTCCCCGCTCATACGGCATTCATTTCATTTGTGCAGGTCTTAAAGACTTAAATTTGATTTCAAAAACCCTGCAGATATCCTGTAAAACTAACCCGATCATGTTTTCGTGAGATTTATCATATGTTCATATGTATGTTCAAGTTTTCTGATGTCCACTTTAGAATGACTCCAGTCAGGGAGATCTGGGTACCCTGGCCAGCGTGGTCACGTCTCTCGGTCACCTCAACAAAAGCCGTGAGATGATGGACAGCAGTACCGACCTATCGGGGATGGAGACCGCGAGCAACGATGACAGCGTTATGACGGACATGCAGAGGGACGAGTCGAATGACGTCACGCGGTACGGAAAGCAGCTCGTGTAGTTCTGATATCAATGGGGTACGGGATGTGCTTACACATTTTGTGTTTGCTTGTGTCCAGGGCCTTTGACACGCTCACAAAGGCGCTTCAGCCCGAGGAAGGTTGTGGGGAAGAGATGGCAGAGGGGCTTGTGGCTGTCAGGGTTGATGAACAGTCCAGCGCTCTCCTGGAACTGGAAGGACCGCTGCTTTCAGATATGCACGTGCCCTTTAAGGTCAGGGCTCACTGTTGATTGAGACGCACTGCAGTTATAGCGATTCAAAAATGATGGTCGAATAACAACGTGTATTAAATATTGTGTGCAGCTGATGATGCCGCTGCCCATGCCAGACTTCCTGAATCTGAATTACATCTGTGAATCAGCTTCCCGTCTGCTTTTCCTCTCCATGCACTGGGCACGCTCTATTCCAGCCTTTCAAGCCCTTGGGTGAGTGTATTCATGTCCTAGTTTACGCCTGCTTTCAGGCGATCACATGTGGATGGAACTAAATATAGGTTTAAATAGGGGGAGAAATATAAAGTACTAAATGAATAAGTATATTTATTATCAGCACTTCCTGCATTCTCCACCACCACCTCTGGCATATATGCAATGCTGCATTAGAATTAGGCTAAAATGATCTTAGGAGTCAGTATTATTAAGTTACCTATCTTTTAATACAGCCTTCATGTTTGTAGCGATTATATGATAAATTCAAATTTTTCCCCCTGGATAGTGGAAGAGAACTGCATGCATAAGCGGCCATTTATACCCTTATTTGGTCCCCTACACCTAATTCAAATCGCAATGTACTGTGTAATGATTTTATTTGTAAATTTAGCTGTATCCTTATTTTGTTCTCTGTATTTCTGGTGGTCAGCTCAGAGAACAGCATCACACTGATGAAGGCCTGCTGGAATGAGTTGTTTGCTTTAGGTCTGGCTCAGTGTTCACACATTATGAATGTAGAAACGATCCTCACGGCCATAATCAACCACTTACAGACCAGCCTGGATGAAGGTACGTGGACCTTTTTATGTTTAACATACATTAGTAATATATTAAAGAGTTAGTTCACCCAAAAATGTTAATTCTGTCATTAATTTCTCACCCTCATGTCGTTTCAAACCCGTAAGACTTCTGTTCATCTTCGGAACGGAAATTAAGATATTTCTGAGGAAATCTGAGAGCTTTCTGTCCCTCCATTAACAGCTACGCAACTACCACTTTGACGCTTCAAAAAGTTCATAAAGAGATTGTAAAACTAATCCATATGAATTGAGCGGTTTAGTCTAAAATGTTCTGAAGAGACTCGATCACTTTATATGATGAACAGATTTAATTAGGCTTTTATTCACATATAAACATTGATCAGCGAACATAAACAGAAGCTCAGTCCTAAAAAAATTAATTTCTCAAATTTTGCACGGACCCCCTAGCTATTAAATACCCCCTGGGTATTAAAAAACAGCTTTAGTTGATTCACTGAAGCACAGACACCTAATGAGAGATGTGTACGTGTGTTCAACAGACAAACTATCCCCAGAGCGGGTGAAGCAAGTCATGGAGCATATCTGGCGTATGCAGGAATTTTGTAACAGTATGAGTCGCATGAGTCCTGATGCATATGAATACGCTTACCTCAAAGCTGTGGTTCTCTTCAGCCCGGGTGAGCACAACTGGAGAGTATCTGAAAAATATGGAGGGAAATGAAGAAAAAAAAGAAAAAAAAGGTTAGAATTAAGTTGATTGTATGCGTGTTTGTCGCAGATCACTCCGGAGTGGACGGCACCCTTCAAATTGAACGGTTTCAGGAGAAAGCATACATGGAACTGCAGGACTATGTGAGCAAAGTGTATCCAGAGGACACATATCGGTGAGTGACTTGTGTAGTTTAGTTACTCTAAAAAAGTCATTAATAGCTACTAATTACATCTTCAACAGTGTAATTAGATTACTGTACCAATTAAACTCTCTAAAAAGAATTTCATTACTTTCTAAATCGCATATCAACCTCGGCCAGTTGAACAATACAAGGATAGACTTGAAACTGTGCTTTTAATCCTTTCAAATTAAATAATATAAAATTGCATACATTTATTCTTAAACTGACCAAAGTATTGAAAGGGAGAAGGTTACATTAAAAAAAAATACATTGTAACATTAGATGTTAAATCCACTATTGTTTTATATAGAATTGTTCAGTCTACAGTATTTAATGCAATTACATCAGACTTGTAATTAAATTACAGAAAAATTAAGTAATCCCTTACTTTGTTAAATTACAGTAAGTAATTACTTAGTAGTGCATTACACCCAACAATCAAATTAATTTGAAATATTCTGAAATGTTAGATATAGTATGATATCTTAGATGTGACTATTAACAATATATATCAATTCTCTTTCTCTGCTAGTCTTTCAAAACTGTTAGTTCGCCTGCCCGCCCTGCGGCTCATGAGCGCTGCAGTGACTGAGGAGCTCTTTTTCGCCGGTCTCATCGGGAACGTCCAGATCGACAGCATCATTCCCTACATCCTCAAAATGGAGTCTACCGACTACAACAGCCAGCCAATCAGCAACGCTGAGTGACTGAAGCCCCGCCCATAGCCACACCCATCAGCTTTAAAAAGTCTTTGGCTTTGCTCACTCAGACCCTTTGGGCCAAAACAGCGATCTTTATGATATAATCATACATTTCGGATAAGAAAATCATTTTGTTATGACTTTGCTTTTTCATTTGGCCCGTTATTATGTCTATAGGTTATGTAGTATGGATAAAGTGGATCACTGCAACTGCTGCGATTGGATCGTTTGGGCTTTTATTGTATTGCTGTACTTATGTTTAGAAAAGTGTCTATAAAGACACAGGAAGTGAAAGGAACCTGTTCTTGAGAACTTGTTCCAAAGAGAACTTTGCGCCCCCCTCCCCCCAAGCACTGACTTGTATGTATATGAATCATGTATATAGGAATAATAAATGTCAAATCAAGGGGAAAAATTTTGGTATTTTGGCATTTGTTCGCCTGTTCCTTTTTTTATGAACACATTTGATGTGATATACAGGGTTCCCACGGTCACAGAAAACTCCCATCTTTTCTCCATCCCTGGAAAAGTCATGGCAATTTCTGTAGTCCATGTAAATTTTTTTCTGTTTATGCTCTAATATATTTAATTAGCAAAATATTATTCTGTGAGTGCAATCTCTGTATAAAAAAAAAAAGAATTGTAAAGAAACGGAAGTCATGGAAATGTATTGGTCAAACGTGTTGGAATCAATTTATAGTTGTTCCATGTTCATTCCGAGCAGTACCTTGTGAACTCTGTAATGTTTAAATAATGAATATGTTTATGTTGTGTGTCACATTTTTTATTAAAGAGTAAACCAGACCTTTCAGAAACATTCTCAGATCAAGCTTGAACGCTTCAATTGTATTATATATATAATATGTCTTAATAAACTGCTGTTTTTTTTCTCAAGTTAGTACACGTCACCCAAAGACAACAACGTTATTTGCTTATAACAGAACAGAGAGATTGCTGGCGGAACCCAAACCGCGCGCTCGTGTGCAGGGGGAACTGTAAAGCTGCGTGACCGTCCGTCAGCGTTTAGAGTCCGCCGGTTATGGCGGAGTACGCGAATCTAGTGCGGCGGGCCGTGGGTCAACTCGGCGGTCATGGCGGTGTTAAAGGCTTCCTACTGCAGCTGTTCAGGTACTCGAATAAAATAGTTTTAGAGCTTTAGAGATAATGTTAGACTGGGGTGTGAAATGAAATGTGTAAAACTGTAAGACACTGAATCCAAAGCAATGACCTCTTTGATAGTGACTGTACAGTCACACATATGAATGCGAAACACTGAACAACTGTCTGTTTACCGGAGAATGTATTTTACTTGGCATGTCAATATCTCTTTAAACACTGAGACCTTTAGCAACATATAGATAGTTAAGATCTTGCGAAACTACTTTTTTGGACCTTCAACGTTAGGGACATTTATGCTGCTGCCACTGTACTTTTTGCAGGGAGTTTATTATTAATATTTATAAATATTATACTATATTCTAATATACTTACTATTATAATAAATTACACTTAATATATTAATAATTGATTTGACATAATTGAAATGTCTTTCTCAGGGTGAATGATATCAAGACAGGAGCCTTGGTGGGTGTTGACAAATATGGCAACAAGTACTATGAGGACAACAGAAACTTTTTCGGTATTAATTTACATACTTTAGTTGTCTACAAATTCACTGTGTTTTATGTCTTCTGAGTGTGTATTTTTCACTGTGTCTCTTCCAGGCCGTCACCGATGGGTGATTTACACCACAGAGATGAACGGAAAGAAGACTTTGTGGGATGTTGATGGCAGCATGGTCCCTGCTGAATGGTATTATATAAACAGATGTATTTGGCATAATGTTTTTAATGGATTTATTTTCTTTCTAGTTTCTAGTGTCCTTTTGCCCTGTAAAATGTAGGGTTTTCCCTTAAGATTATGTAATTATTGGTTTATAGAGCTCTTTAAAAAAAAACTACGCTTGTCTTAAAGGTAGTGTAGGCAATTTCGGAGAGGCTAGCAATAGCAAGCTAGCTTTGAAAGCATGAGATCCCACCCTCCTTTCAGAGCGTCTACAAAGCCACACCTCCTTCAAAAAACGCATGAATGCGCACATCCAGAGTAGAGTCTGCAAAGCGTCATGAGAGACATTTTAGCGTTGATAGTGTTGACATAGAAACGCATAAATCTGAGGACGTGAACAGCTCCGGTTAGGACGTCACGGGTTGCAATCTCATAATTATGGTTATTAAAACGCAGCATAAGATCGTCGTTTTGGTTCAGGAGGAACTGTAAAGGCGGCTGCTGTTAGTTTGTGGCGCTCGGTGCCTTACGGAATGAACTGATGAAGAATACGTATTATGACAGGCAGGTAGGACAACCTTTTTGGTCCTGGGACTTCCACAGAAGTACATGTTTTAATATTTAGACCACTTCTATTATTGATTGCTATCAGGATGTGAAGAGAGTTTCAACCGGTATAACAAAAAGTGTTTATTATTAAAAAAAATAGCCTACCCTATTATTCTTGTGAAAAAATGTATTAATTCAGGAGCATTGTGGTATTAAGAGTGACCGAATAAAAAGTGCTAATTGGCAGCTTATGATTGAACAAAATATTGGGTAATTTTACAGAGCAATTGCATTTGTAAATACAGAGCAATTGGTTGTATTAATATTTGTATATTTTTATTAGTTTTAATTTTATTTAATTGTATGTATTGTACAAAAACAAGCACAGAATGGAATAGAATAAAAATGTTTGAGAATACAATTGCATGTTTTTAAACAGAAATTCTCACTGCTTTGGTTCGGTTAGTTAGGTTTTAATTGCCAGTGCACAATCATATATCTTTTTCTCTCTTTCAATGTTGTTCTCAGGCACCGTTGGCTGCACTGCATTACGGATGACCCTCCCACCACTCACCCTCCAGAACCCAAGAAGTTCCTGGCCAAGGTTCATCAGATCAACCTCAGTGGCACATCAAACTGCTACGTGCCCTATTCAACCACTCGCAAGAAGATCCACGAGTGGGTGCCCCCAAAAGCCGGGGAGAAATAACCCCCTCCTCCTTTCACCAGTTCTACTGTTTGGAACATTCTGTACATTGTAGCTTTATGATAATCGTAAATAAATTAAAACAAACGTCTTTGTCTCTGTGTGAATTCATGTTTATAAAACTGTCGGGAATTGATTGGATCGTGAAAAATAATTTTCATCAGTCATTACTTCAGTCTACAGTGTCACATGATCCTTGAGAAATCATTTTAATGATGATTTGGTGCTCAAGTGAAAACCATTAAACATTTTAACTAGAACTAATAAAACTAGGAATGTGCACAGGGAAATAAATAAGGTGACTGTTATGAATGGTTAATGTTTGAATGTTTAAATATTGTAATTTAAAACTGGTAAACCACATCTAGGAGCAGTTCAGTATGGTGTCACACACAAGTTACAGCATCTCCTGTGTGATTCAATGTTGAGGGTTGATTGAACAGTTGCAGTATTTCTCAGGTCATTGAGCAGTGTATCAGTCTGACATGGTCTTCATAGATGGATCTAATTCCTATAGCAGCCAAACTCAGGCAATGCACATATACACATACTAGGTATTATATCATAACCGTATTATTTTTCTAATCGAGGGTGAGATTGGTCAGGTAGGTGAGTCAGACGTTGGACAGCAGAGGTCACTGTTTTCATGGATTTTTTCGGATTTTGCTCAACCGAAACCAAAGCATAGGCCTTATTGTTCGTGTTGAAAACTGAAACCAGACAGACTATAATAGCTGCTTCCTACAGGGTTGAGAGCAAATCGCCGCATTTTACTGTCTCTGTGTATTTGTCCATTTAAATGTTATTGTTTCAGTCGAGGTCATTGGCAAACACATTCAAATCTTTTGACAACTTACTATTATGACATCTCCAAAGTAACAAAAAAGCATAAATATTTTTAGAACCTGCTCAGAAAGTGTACATTTCTCTACCAATAAGCCCTAAAAAAGTACCATGCTATTAGTGTTTTGGACGACTTTTTGTTTTGTTTTGTTTTTTACAGTAGCCTACCTTGGACTTCTGTGTAAATGGTACATGTTAATCATCGAGTACCTTGCTTTATACTGAATTACCATGGTATCACCACAGCACTCTTTTCACAAGTTCACAAGAGTAATGTGACAATGTAAACTCTGCCAGCCACAATTTATAGTTTCAGTTTCACACAAATAGTAATAATACATCTGTGCAGAAGATATATACAAAAACAGTTTTATTTGAGAATTGTTAAAAACCACAAATGTTCACAAAAAGTATAAATTGTACTGTCAGCAGAGGAGGTCAATGCATGACACCATCAGCTTATGGTTAACACAGTATAGGACAAAGTTGTTTGTAACTCATCTGTGAAAAACATACAGACAGCTACTTCACAGTGTTTAATTCTCTCTCTCTCTCACACACACACACACACACACACACACACACACACACACACACACACACACACACACACACACACATACACACACACACACAAGCATTTGTGTTTTCATGTTTTATGGGGACTTCCCATAGATGTAATGATTTTTGTATTGTACAAACTGTATATTCTGTCCCCTTACACTAACCCTACCCCCAAACCTGCCCATCACAGAAAAAGTTCTGCATTTTTACATTTTCAAATAACCATCATTTAGTATGTTTATTAATCAATTTCCCTCGTGGAGACCCCTGGCTGGTCCCCACAATATAGGTGATCTCAGGTTTTACTATCCTTGTGGGGACATTTGGTCACACACACACACACACACACACACTGTGTTCACTGCAAAATGGATTGAGGTAATGAATTATGGATATGCACATTAGCATGGTGTCATTTCACACTGCCAAGTGGTTTAAATTTTCATATCCCCATGAATAAGCAGCTGCTAGTGTAGTGTATATAGGGTGTATTCATATGTCAGATAAACGTGAGGTCTCTGAGTTACATATGTGCCGTGCTTTACATATGCACTGAATATTTATTACTTTCAATGCAGCATCTTTTTTTTTTTTTTCGTAATTAGCGGTCTCTCTGCAATTACCGGTTAACTTCTTCTATTGCTATTGTTCATGCTGTGCTATTTGTGAGCTGAGATGTTCAGATTACTTTGTGCAACCATGTGGAACACCCCCGCAACTGCGTAGCAACAAATTGGCAGGCACCAATGCCACCCTAACAATGACACAGAACACCTGGGCAACTGTATATTATCCTAGCAACCTCCCGGAACACTCAGATAACCATATATTACCTGCCACCCTAGCAACACCCTGGGAACCACTCATAATATTCTAACAAGCACATAGTAACACAATGGAAACCAATCGGTCAACAACATATTGCCTTGGCAACCACCCAGAACACCCCAGCAAGACCCTGGGAACCTCTCATTGCACTCTTAACATCAACATAATAAAACCCAGAAACAATCTGGAACACCCAGATACCCATATATTACCATAACAAATCATATCAGCACCCTAAAAACCACCCAGAACATTTGGGATGGATAATGCTCTGGCAACCACCCAGAACACCCTAGGCAACACCCTGGCAACCTCCAATAAAAACCTA